CTTCAGTGTAATGTAAAAAAAGGTATTAAATAGGCCATGAGATGACATAAAAATGAGGTTGAATAAATTTAAATACAGGTAGGCCTATAGTATTATGAAGGTACAGTATTACAGTACTACTTTTAATAACATTTGTCTTAACCGGGTTTTCGATTAATCGTGATTTCCATGCCCACCATTATCCCAGATAATCGAGAGTTGAGTGTATATAGAAGAGGGGGTAAACACAAAATTCCTTGGTGTGCAAATTGATAATCATTTAAAATCGATCAGTTGATTCCAAAGTTAAGTAGAGCATATTATGCAGTTAGATTCATGTTACATATTAGTAACATTGACACTCTAAAATCAATCTATTTTGCTTATTTTCACTCTTTAATGAACTATGGAATAATTTTCTGGGGTAATTCATCTGACAGTAAAAAAGTATTTACATTGCAAAAGAAAACTGTTAGAATCCTGATGGGTGTCAAATCCTGTAATTCCTGTAGAGATCTATTTAAGAGACTACAGATCTTAACTTTGCCTTGTGAATATGTATGTATATTCATTAATAAACTTCATTACAAATAACGAAGAACATTTTCAGATGAATGCAGATGTATACAGTGTTAACACAAGACACAAACACTGTCTTCATAAACCAATTGCTAACCTCTCATGCTTTCAGAAAAGTGCATTTTATGCTGCAATCAACATTTGTAATAACCTGCCATCTGATCTCAAAGGTCTTATGAATGAAAAGGAATGATTTAAAATAGCACTGAAATAATACTTAAATACACATTTATTCTACTCTGTTGATGAATACCTACTGTCTAGAAAATAACTTATGTATCTTTAAATAGCCTTGTGTGTAGTCACTGTGTATTCTTGGTTTCTCTTGTGTGAGAACTCCACTGGGTCTGTACATACGTTCTGTATTTATATGGCATATTCCACATCCTACAGTCATTTTGATTAACTTTGGATCTATGGAATGCAATGCAATGTCATGTAATACGTTATACATACTGGAGCATTACCAGACATAGGTAAATGGAGTGGATAATCATCATACCCTCTGACCTCCTATGGTTGGCAACAGCAAGGCCATAACACATCATTCTAGTTATATTATTTTTTATGATGGTAATACCAAATATCAAAGCAAAGTTACATGTACTAAATGTCACAGCAACAACTACAGAAGAAACATAGCTCCTGTTTGTTAATCTAATCCAAGTTTTGAAATGCAGTATAAATGCATCCCACCATATATCCAGGCAGGACATGGAACACAGCTCTCAAAACTGATACTGTCCCACTTAAATTGGGTTGTCTGGGATCCCTAGTGTAAGAGTGAGGACTGAACACAAATGACTTAACATGTGTCAGCTTCCCAAGACAGGCTTTGCTCCATATAGTTGGTTAATAGCAGAGAGAACAAAAAAGAATGATGGTGGGGTAGTTCAAATAGAAAACCAACACAAATAGGCACAGAAATTAAACAAATACAATTCCTGTCATTTTCATGCATCATATTACAATATGTGGAACTAAGTAATATATATAAAACAGTATTATAATCTGAAGCTTCAACAGTACTAATAGAAGAACTGGATCCTAGTCTACCATACACCACACCTTTGTGGCTGAGCACTCCTGCTTCATATTTGAGATGATTCTTGGTCTTGAGGTTCACCGCAACTTTACTTGGTCTCCTGAGGCATATGCTGAGATAATACCTTAACCTTTAATGGCCAAATGTCGCGTATACATGTTGCAAGCAGTAAGCGGAGTTGGCCGAATGGCGTGTGTACACGCTGCAGGACACATGCTCTCTTTGGGAGTGCTGACAGTTTGACCTTGGGTTGGAAACCTAAACAAACCTACGTGAGGTAATGTCAGTGGTTCATTCCTTAGTTCTGAACAAAGAAATTGTTTATCTTGGTCCTGGTTTCGATACTATTTACGTTTAGATATGACTGTTTATGACCTCGTCAGTCAAAAATAACCCAGCTTTGTTTCGAGAACTGATGAGGAAATATTTATTGGTGCTTGCAAATGAGTGCTTCCAGAGCCTTCAAGGGAGTGTGACGCATTCAAGGATTGGTTTTCAGAGGCGAATTATCAGTCAGGAAGTCAGTGTCGGATTGTCTATTTCTTTGTCATTTAGAAAGTCAGTGTCAGACTGTCATATACAGTGCGTACAATCAAGTGCGCGCCGCGGCTGCAATTTGCCGTGAGTCATACCACCGCAGAATGGATGCAACTCCTCCCCGCGACTGCAGTGCCGTTCCCTGATAGCGTGAGTGTAGTGGTGTCGCTGAGTCTCCGTCCATCAGTTGCTCTACATGCACACATTTATAAGAATACAGTAAAAAGATAACTTACCGTGGTTTATAACAGGTGCTGAAAGTGACCTCCTTCTGCTTGCAAACATGCCGCGCATCTCACAAATAAATTACGCGACACTCTCTGCAGTTCGTCGATGGTAATTGAATGAATTACGCGTGTAATTTCATTTTGAAGACTTTCAATGCTGCGGGGATTATTTTTGTAGACTTTTTGCTTCAGGTTGCCCCAAAGATAATAATCAGAAATACTGAGATCTGGGGATCTGGGAGGCCACAGTCCTCTACTGACAATTCTGTCTTCAAACACTTCCTGTATTGCGACCATGGATGCATTAGCCGTATGTGCTGTAGCGTTGTCCTGCTGAAAATACCCGTATTGTCTTTCTTCGGCATTCAACTGATCGAAGAAGGGATTCAGTATGTCATTAATGTACCGATCAGAGTTCACGGTATCGTGGAAAAATATGGGGCCAATGATTCGCCGCGGGCTTACAGCACACCACACACCCACCTTTTCACTATGTAATGGCACTTGCTGTATAGCGTGAGGATTTTCATTGCTCCATATTCTTACGTTTTGTGCATTGACGTGGCCACCAACGTGGAACCACGCTTCATCAGTCATGAATAGAAGCTGAGGATCCACTATTCCATCGTGTACATTTTGCAGCAGCCAGTTGCAAAAACGAATTCTTGCTGCATGATCTGGTTCTTTCAGCTCATGCACAACTGTTACTTTATACGGGCGAAATTTGATTAACTTTGTGGCTGTGCGAGCAGATCCTAGCGAAACACCAGTTTCCTGTGCTAAGCGTCTTAACGATTTTCGAGGACTGATCTGTAATCTTGCCTGAATATCCTTAACCTTTTCTTCAGTCAGCACAGTTCTCTTCGATTGCTTCTTCTTGTCACTCACTGAACCTGTGGCCCGCCCCTTTTTCAGAAGCCTGTTTACACACGACTTTGTGGGAACTGGCGAGTCAGGATATTTCTGACGAAACCTACGTGCGAATTTTCTGTAAATGTTTTTCCTTGCAATAGTTTCGACAATAAACACACGCTGTTTAATAGTGAACTTCATTTCCACCGTCTGTCGACAGCTGTAAACATTCCACTCCACTTCCACAGCAAGACAAAGACTGACTGTTTAATGCAACCTCGGGTTCCGATTATGCAACCATCGGCGTAGGAGCACTGCAGTCGCGGGGAGGAGTTGCATCCGTTCTGTGGTGGTATGACTCACGGCAAATTGCAGCCGCGGCGCGCGCTTGATTGTATGCACTGTATTTCGTTATATATAATTTTTATTTTGCGTCTTAGAAGAGGTATAAATCCACTGAGTCAGTATTACTTTGTGAATAAAAGTCATCTTCGCCACTGCGACTTTCAGTATGTGTCGGACTGGCACTCTTTTCGACTAGTATTATAATTATTTCGCATCACTATTTTTCAAATATTACCAACAGGTGAGATTGTCAATTTGTCAATCAAAATAATTTATTCGATTTTGCTAGAAACTCCCCTCCCCCAAGATGATTCTTCAATCTCACAAGCCGAATATCATGGTCAGGGGTGTTTCTTGGGGGAGGCCAAGGTTACCTGGGGACCAACTGAGTCGACTGGAGGTGAAAAATTCACAACATTGGTCAGCAAAGGGAAACAAAGATGTATTTGTTCTCAGAATAAGAGGCGCAGATGCATGCTCTAATACTGCCGGCTGCTTCGAGACGTGGGTTGCGTTGTGCGTGTTCTGGCTACTTCAAGACGTGGCACACGCGCATCAGGGTGTGAGTTATGGTAAACTGTGAAGTGACGCAGTTAAAACTCGTGTACAGTCTGAACAAAATATTATTGAATACAGTGTGATTATATTTACAATATCACCATGATTCAAGGCTGAAGAATTAACAATGGGTAAGTCCTTTGGAATTTCATGACATATATAATAAAGATTATATTTTGCAATTCATGACAATATAATCACAATTAATTTTCGTTTGTAAAAGTTGTTCTTCTGTGAACATGTAGAAAAATTTATTGTCTTTCAGGTTGTTTTTAGTTTTTGTTTCTATGTTGCAGAGAACAGAAAATATGGATTTTTTTTCTGACAGTTTGCAAATTTAATTAATCAGGGTGATTTAAATACTGGCTGCAGAGGGCTCCCGGCAATTTAAAAGTCCGTACGTTAAAGGTTAACATGTGCTATGACTCCTTCCTTCCACTCTCTCTTCCTCCTCCCAGTCTAAACAGTTGATGAAGTGTGGTTAAATAAATTAAGAAAGAAGACAATTCTGAACAAGTTGAACCTAATTCTCATCATTAATACATATTCCCCAAAGAACTATTTAATAGTACCCTTCTTTTTCTGTCTTATATTTTATCAGGCTGCTAGTAATTTATAAATTTGTTTGTGCTCTATTAGATTTCTCATTTTTACCCCAAAATGTCTAAAGTTTCATGGTTCTGGCTTATCCCTTTCTGAGTTTATATGAACACACACTGTAAAGAACTCCATGTCTCATTGACATAAATATGCAATATATTTTTAAACAAATGTAAGATGCCAAAGAAAGGCAACAAATTATTAAAATACATTAGGGACTTTTTAACGTTTTCTAGATACTGTACACAAATGCAGTAGCAGATACAGACTGTACTTACTGTCTAACAGATTCTCATAGTGCAGGAGTCGCTGAAGAGGCTTTAGGACAAAGGCTGTCAGGGGAAGATAGCAGACTTTCTGCATTTCAAAATCACGATAGAGTTTCTCAAATTTGTGATTCAGTCGGAAAGCAGAGTCCAACTTTTCAAGAACAACCAGATGCTTTGCTAGGTACTTCTCGTACAACTGCCAAAAGAAATATCATGAAAATGTAAGTATATGCTTCCATAATTTGATGGCATGACCTGGAAAATCAAACTGTTTACTGAAACTGCAAGTACATGATTTATTCCACTGCTGCTTTGTGTCACAACTTTCCACTTGTAATACTGAAGAAAAAGACACTAAAATTGTAACAACAGGATAAAGTGAATTAGTTTGATCTTAATTTTAAAACACTGTCACATGAATGCATTTGGTTAATATGAGAATTATGAAACTGACTGTTTCTGCTATTATTTTTAAATATGACCATATCAACACATCCACTTAAATATTATCAAATGCTAGCAGGTATACTGAAATTTCACATAATGTTTGACTCTTCAGCAAATTTGTGACTAAAGTACACTGTAAAATTTAAATTACAATATGAAAGGGAGGGACTTACAAAGATTTATATTGAAAGTTTTGGGAAGAACTTATGATGTCTGTTTTATTTCAAATTCTTCAATTCATTTGGTGAGATTAGCAGAAACTATGAGGTTTGGCAATTAAACAACCAGCCTAACTCCAAGTACTTGTCTTCTGACTTCATACCTGCTCTCCCAACATCTTTACATGCATGGAAACACTGATGAAAATCATTTTTCGAAAGTGTTTTCAGTACTGATATCACACTGCTCTGAATGAAGTAAAGTAAATGATACCCTTTCATAGAGATTTCCAGTTTTGGGATCATGAAAAATTCACATACAAGAAAATCACACAAGTAGGGTAGACTTTCCAGGACTTCTTGTTTCACTGTAAATTACTTTACCAAAAGAATTACATACTTAGGAAACTATTATGATGTAAAATATATACACCCAGCCAAAGACTGGTGTTTTCCCCAAACATGTGCTGCTAGAAACATTCCAAAAACATGAAAGTAAAATGTTCAATTTGTTTTTTAGGAAAAAAATGTAAATGATATTTATTTTATATATAAAAAAGCATATAACCATGGTTCTGACTTTCCCACTTTGTGGCATTGCATTTTATTTCTGGGTCACACTAGAAGACAAAGTCTCATCACCAGTCACTTCTTGTTCTTCCAACAGTCATACCTGAAGGTACAAGAAGTTTTTCTCTTCTTATTACTAGCTCACAACTCAGATTTTATGTTACAAATGTGGCAAAGAGTATATTCAAATTGAGATACCTGGTCAAAATCAATTTCATGGTTTCTCTGTCCAAGTTCAGTCCTTATGCTATCTCCAAACAGTCAATCAATACCATATCTCATCATTTCAGATACTTTTCCAAATCTAGATCACTTCTTGATGTTGCTGGAGAGCTATTTCTTTTGTAAATAAGATCTAAAAGTTTGTGACAATGGTATATTAATGCAATTATTGTGTATCTGGATGTTACGAATCATCCTTTTCTTACTTAAAACATGTGATGTTTCGGAGATTGGATTCTGTCTCTGTCTATAGGTGGAACCCACTCAGTGAGGACTAATCGATAGAGCTAGTCCCTATCTCCAGACACCTGTACCAACACGTGATAGGATATATAAACCAAGCACAGCACAAACCATCTACGAGAGTTAAACATTAAAAACAATAAAAAAAACTCTACATACATGAGGAATAGCACCTATGTGAATGCATTATTTCACAACTATTATTATTAAAATCTGATTTTAACAACAGCTGTGAAACAGTGCATGGACATAGGTGCTGGGCCTCATGTGGGTGTGTGTGGAGTTTTTTAATGTTTTTAATGTGTGTCTTAACTCTTGCAGATGGTTTGTGCTGTGCTTGGTTTATATATCCTACCTTGTGCTGGTGTTGGTGTCTGGAGATATAATCCAATCTCCAAAACGTCATGCATCTTAAAAACAGGGCAGTGGATAATATCCAGAAACACAATAATCGTATATCTTTTATATTCTTTAATGTTTTCCTTTCTATCTTGAAATCTTTAGCATAAATAAAAATATGTTTTTACTCAATGTTCCCTTTGAATACACTTGCTGTAATATTTTGTAAATGTCAGCAGCATTTTCTCCCACTTTCACTAAGCACACTTAATGCAGATGTCTGTCCTAAAATTTTCACCCACGTTTTAACAATTAACCAATGAACTAATGAAGCACACTGCAAACAACAAAGCAGACTGAATCCCAAACCAATGAAACTACTGAATTGTGAGGTCATGAGATCCAATACATATCTACTCACAAGTGATGCCAACTGCTGCACATAAACATCAGTCCAGTTAATTAACTTTTAGACCTCATACAAATTAATGCCATTTAGTGATTCATTTATATGCATAATTTACACCAGAACAGGTTCTTAGGTACATGTAAGTTCAAAGTTTCACATAGCCACCAAGTTTTTATCTGTTAACATATAGAAAACAATTTCATATAACATTTGTATCTTTTTTTTTATACACATACAAAACTGTACATGCTTATGCCAAGAATTCATTGGTTATTTTCAAAGAGAGACCCAATTGGTGTGTTGTTCTTTTACATTTGATAAACAAAATGATATTAACGAAAGCTGCATAATTCTTAAAGATGCAGTACAATACAACATTTCAGGACCTAGTCATATTAGAGTTGCTATAATCCCACAAATTTATGCAACTGTCATGTTGGTATTATTGTTGGCACACAAAGTACAAAGGTGGTATAACTTCTAATGATGTTATTTTCAAACCAAGGATCACAAAAATCTATAATTTTTCCAGCAAGTGTAGCCTGAATATAAAAATGAGATAAACATATTAAGTACTTACTGGCAAGACTCCCATATTCTTTAAAAGAACATCTCCAATGCGGCGATAATCACCATTGAGGTGTGCATTACTGCGGCCTTCCCATGTAGCAAGACGTGTTTCTATATCTCGAAGGAAGCCACAGTGGTACTCAAGAAGAGGCTCAACCAATGAAAACAAAGGCATCAAAGCTGTGTCTGGCATTTCACCCTCCTCCTTGCTCACTTCATCACGGAACCACTGAGAGAAATGAACTAACTGTCAGCTTAGTGTAGTGCAACATAATATTCAAATTATAAAACACAGCAAGGGCTTCCACAGTACTGTCATGAGATGAAGGTTCTTCAGCCAGAAACAATCCCACAGAAATCAATCTAAGAACATCTGATGTAAGAGGTAATGAGTATTTATATGCGTTTATACAGTTCCAGAATACGAACTGAACAACACTAAGATCTGTATTTAACGGCATTTATTTATATGTCATGTACCATTTGCCTTTTTGGGAGGCCAGACAACACTGACAGGTCAATGCAACCTATTACTTATACATCTGAATGTGAACCTCATTAGCGAATTTTGAAATTTATGCATGACATTTGATTTTCTTCACCCTATTCCCAACAGTATTAATACAAACTTGATACATTTACACCTACAATACTTTCTTCCATTAACCTGTATAAAATGGAAACAATACAAGAAGAAGAAGAAAAACAGGTTTGATACTTGACATATTTATACAATTCTTTATTGGAGTTGCAATCTATATTCCCAACAGAGCGGACAAAATACATTGTAAGATGAGGCACCAGCCAAACAATTAATGTCAAATAATACCACATCTATACCACGGGCCTCCAAGAAGTTTACTATATGTGTACAAGTCCTGAATATACCATTATGTCAGCGGGAATATAACAAGATTGCAACAACTTACTTCATGATATGTAACATCACATGAAGGGTTTTTAACCATATTTTACTCCATAACTTTCGTTGTTTGATGAGTTTATAATTCATTGTATTTTTATACCATGTATTTCATAATGTGACAGTTATCAAGTAGCCAGCTTTACTATCACAGTGAAATTGCAGTTCAATAGTGTGTGAATATAGTAATCATGTGTTTTGTCTGATGATGGCTTTAAAAAGCTGAAACATGTAGCTGGGTAATTTTAACCTTGACCATTAGGTTGTTGTGTTATGACGGACTCAAAGAAAGAACTGTATATAATAACACAACAGGGTGCGCGAAATGAAAATTACATATTTATATTTTGGAAGGAAACACGCCATTCTGGTCATTTTTACAGTGTTTTGGCATACTTTCCAGTATTATTATCAAATAATTTGAAGCTGTTTGGGAAGACTGGACCTTGAAAGCATGAACTGCACATCACGGAATTTGATATCTTTGTACTACGAGGGTCACACTGAAAGTCATGAGCAACAATTTTTTGGTCTTCGGTCAATAACCGCGGGACCCAACGAGCACAAACTTTCCTATAGCCCAAGCTTTCAACCATCTCCTGTACTGCACTGTGCCCTATTCCAAGTTTTCAGGCTATTGTGTCCACAGTCACATGCTTGTCATCTTGAATGATCTCATCCACTCTTTCCTTGTTGCGTTCAGTTGAGGCTGTTCGAGGACGACCGCTCCGAGGCTCATCTTCGATGATGGGGTTCCCATCTTTAAAATGTTTCACCCATCTTTGAACACTGCTCGCACCCATGCACACACTTCCATAAGCACACTGAAGTCTCTGGTGAATTTCTGCAGCAGGGATTTCCTCTTTCACAAGAAATTCGATGACAGCACGTTGGCAAAACGACACATTGTTGCCATCAATTTTGTTAGGAGTGATACTGGTCACGTGATGCAAGCTATTGACGTCACAAGACACTCAAGGTTAACACAACAGCTGGTTCCACCTACCACTGTACTCTCTTTCGTCTGCTGTTCCCAGGTTGCATGCAAAAAAAAGTTGCTCATGACTTTCGGTATGACCTACGTATTTTTACATTCAGATGTAGATGATGCAAGCATATTTGTACTCCTCATAAAGTATAAACTGATACACAACATACCAAGCTGATCACTTCTAGGTCTTTCTTATATGTTCTCTCTGTCATCAAAATCTCCTTTGCAATGAAGTAAGCACGATCTGTTGGATACCTCTGAAAATCAAAACATGCATGCAGCAAAAGAGGAAAAATGTAGGTGATAGTATACAGCACATATGAGAAGAGAAACACAATGTGGGAAGACCATACATCCCCAGTATTCCTTTAAATGCTTACACTGTTACAGAGAGGTCAACATAAATTACTAATCAATAAATACCACCATATCTGGGGAATGTTTGCTAGGATTCACTTTGGAATATATAGTCTTCTGCCTAAAATTTTAAGATTAAATTATATTAAACTATAATTTTACCCATTACTTTCTCATGGGGGGGGCCAAACACTTGATCTCTCATACTAAGGGAAGAACATGAAATGAAGGTGTGCAAGTACAGGGTATTCAGGGGCACATTTGGACCCAAGGGAAAGAAAGTAACAAGAGGCCGAAGAAAGCATATGATGAGGAATTCTATATTGGATTTGAGTTTCTCACCACAGTGACTATGAGTCAAAGAATTAGGCAAACAAGAAACTATCAGAGCTTGTTGCCTGCTTCTTGCTGGGTTTGTTTTTCTAACACTGAAGATGGAAGCAGTAAGTTCCTTTGAAATGTTGTTGTGACTTCTACCAGAATACATAGCTTTACATCCCGGCAGACAGTATTCCTCAGGAGCTCTACAATTTGTACACTTCATCAAATACTATTATGCTGACAAAATTAGAGGATGAGATGGGTGGGGCATATAGCATGCAGGGAAAGTAACACGTGTGTATGCATGCACACAAATATTTATATAAAGTGCTGCTTACAAGACCAAAAGAGAAGAGCCCTCTTGCAAGACTAAGCAATAGGTGGGATGATAATATTGTAACATGTATGTAACATGTATAGTTAGGCAACGGCTTGGTAAACACATTTCCTAGGTAATACAGCCAACTATAGAACTTCAGTTGCTTGGTACCGAATGTTTCAATAATCATGTTGTGGCAAAGGCATATCCATGGTAATGACTTCTGACAGTACTGAAACCCTTGAGGGCAGTGATCTCTATTCAATTATCCCAAAGTTATAAGGTGAGGTCAGAACAGACCAAGAAAGACAGACAGGTGGTACAAGACAGACAAAAAGCAGGCAGTCAGAAGTCAGAAGTGAATAGTGTGTTTTTGAGAGACAGACATCATTCAAGTCAGTTCAAGGTGTGAGCAGGAATTCTTCATTCGTCATAGCAGAAGGGAAGACACTCATGGTCCAGCATAGAATGGAGCGAGTCATAGACAATCAGTGATTGTAAGCTGTCAGAATTGGGTGTAATTGTAAAGGAACACCAATAAATCCATTCACATGATCTAGAACCCATTAATTTCATCACACGTACCCCCGCTATACATGGCAATATTAAGACTGATTTTAATTCCCTGGTGCCTCATGTTAAGTGTAGCTTGTTGTAGCAGTAACATTACTGTGGTACACAGCACCAATACTGAAAGCAAAGTTAAGAATATCTTCACAGATGACAGTACCAACCAAAGCCTGGGTGCTCTTAAAAACATTGAACACAACAAAACTGATACAAAATTCTTAAGTGTAATTTACTACTTGTTTCTTCTCAGCTCTGGCCTTGTTAACAATGGGATCTGTGGGAGAAAAAAGACAATGATTTCTATATGATACCATTTCGTGCTTCATCTGGTTACAAACCACCTCGAATGGACAAATGCCTCTTTTTGACGTAAATTTTTATGCTATATTTTAGTGCAACTTTGAAGGAATAGCTGCTAAAACTAAGAGATATGGAAGTAGAAAAAACCTGTACAACAAGAACCGGCAGTCAGCAAAACTTCCAACTTTGTCTCACTTGGAGTTCCACAAGAAAGTGACCAATGTATTGGTAGGAAACTTTTGGAGGGGAGGGGGGGAAGATGCAAAAGAGAAGACCAAGTTCAACAGATGCAGAAGACTGTCTGAATGGCAAACTGCACCTAATTCTGGCTCATGATGGGAATGTAACATAGGATTGTGCAGTTTGCTCCAATATAAAAGTGAAAGGAAGCAGAACAGGAACACGGTTTTACTGTAACAAGTGTCCTAGGAAGCCGACTACACCCCAGCATGTGTTTTGCCATATATCATACAGCGAAGAAGTACTGCCTGGAATGTAGTTAACAGAAATATTTTATATCTGATAGTTATATAAAATACCACCTTTCCAGTAGAAAAATCGTATCTTTTGTTATTATTTTTTTATGCACAGAGCAATCCCCCATTGACACAGGCATGCTGAATTCTTTATATGTTCTGACTTCACAGTGTTTTGTTTTATTTTACAGTGTTGACTTGGCTTGAACAACATCTCCAAATAAAACATAACTCCCAGACTAAGACATCAAATGCTTATACCTCATAGTCTGGGCATAATATGAGAGGTTTAGATGTGTTGCCAAAGTAATAATCAAAGAACTGGGCTCGTTTCATTCTCTGAAGAACAACAGTAAACACAATGGCACCATTCACTGTGTGTGTCACTAGCAACAGTGGCACAGTCAGTATTCATGAAGTAGGAACTGTCATCTTTGCAGACCATATTTTCATGTTCATACCAAGTTTCATGACAGCTGGTAGTTGGTTAAAAAATTACTGGGATACAAACCAACTGCCTGAACAATGTGCCTTTATATTCAAGTCAGCTGAATATATACTCCACAGTCCAAGTTCCTGGGATTGATACCAGAACTGTGTTGTTTTTCTTATAATTGTACATACATGTATGTTCCTTGTACCAGCATGATAATTTATATAATCTATTTTTCCAACAGAGGCATGACAGCTGTCAATGAAGGGATTACAGGCTAGATATTTGGGGTTTGATTACCAGTACAGTGATATTTCTCTTTACAACCATGTACATAACAGCCCTGGGAACCACCTTCTACAAAGTACGTACCAAGGCCTCTCTCATTAGGTGTAAAGGCAGCAAAAGTGTGAAGGTGACTACTCAACTCCATCTAATGCATGCATATCCAGGTCTCCTATAGGCCTTCATGGTATGGTGCTTAGGCACCAGGATGACTACACATTAATATCACTTGGAAGTTTTAGGCTTCAAATTTATGGATAATATCAAAATGGATCATTTATAGGCAGGATGTGATGCCAAAGAATGGATGAAAGTAGCAGTGGAAGAGGTGCCAATGTTGGGGTTTTGTGAAGATGATAATGAGCATTCTGAGTTTCATAAAAAAGAATAATTTAAAATTTTTAAAGACTGTTCTACACCATGAAGTTAGTTAAATACCAAATGAACTAACCTTTCTCCGTACATCAACTTCTCCCTCAGTGGTGGTAGTAACCTTTGGCATTGGGAGTTCATCTTTGATGGCCTTCAGTGGAGAAACATCAGGGGTATGAACAGCATTTTCTTCACTGTTCACAGGTAAAGAAAACATACTTGCCAAAGACAGGGGAAACAGTTATTCAAAATGAAAATTTAACATTCACTACAGATGTATTTACACTGTTCTTTAACAGGCTCAACAAACCTTTGAATGAAATGGATATTCAAACTGACATCTAAACTGTGAGATAAATAACTGAAGCTAAATTATAAACTCTGGATAACCAAATTCTTCTACAGCTATCACTGATCAGTCCCTTTTGTATGTTCTAATTCAGCACCTAGAAAGTATGAATTTTTTGGACATCTGATAGACTCCTTGAATGGGGGTTCGGACCATCAAAATGCTTCTACTTACACAGGACAATGCAGAAAAACATTCAAACACAGTTACACACACACATGATCTAAAGAGGATTTAATCCCACAATTCCAATGTTCAATAGATCCGAGAGGGTATATGTAAGATATTGCCTTAGTTTTCATAGTTTTCTGTAGTTTTCCTTGATGTCAGTAATTTGAAATTCCTTAGTAAACATTGTGGGGGGTGCAAACATGAAGGAAAAATCTGTCACCGTCCAGAAACACTGAATTATGAAAAGATACAGCCCCCACCCCAACAAAACATTTCAAGAATGAAAATAAACTGAGATTATGGCACTTCCTGTGACAGTGAAACAGCTGCAGTCCTGGCCCTTTAAAATAGGTCATAAGCACTTCCTTTTAATTCCCTGCTACATACTCTTCTACTTCTATCTCCTCACTAATAAGAACAAGGGAGGCAAATTCCATTCCATGACCAGTAAAACACTGTGCATTATTAGCCTTATGAGTGCTCTTTACTTTTATAAGAATGAATTTTTAGTCCCTCACACAGCCCCCAATCTGGAGGTCCAGGGGCACTTATTTTGGGTTGCTCTTACACCAGATGAGTTATCTCTTGCAACTAGAGAGCCTAATTTGTCCTAATTTTCTGTAGGGATTTATCCCCTACCAAAACTTCCACTTTAAGACATTGAACCTTTGCTTTTATCTCCCCTTCTCTGTCACAGCATACCGCATTGCACAGCTTTTGCAACAAGGATGTGGGGGGATAAGGTGTGCTGGAAGAGCTATAAATGATGACGCTTTGCAGGACATGTACATGCGGAAGTAGGCACGCATGGACACACACACACACACACACACACACACAGGAATCCTACCACATCTCACCTGGTGCTACATAACCTCACTTGCTGAGACATCATAAAACAGCAAATCATACTGCCACCAATATAAAGTTACTTAGACCCAAGTAGTGAACATCTGAAGCATGTCCTCTATGAGCATAACTTGAGATCCTCTGTTATTGTTTCATGACCACTGTACAATATTTGTTATACTTTGTGTGTGTGTTGAACTGTATATAATTTTTCATGTCTCCCTGCCTCCCTTCAATAGGTTCTGAAGACTGAGGGGCCTGTAATCCAAAGTAAATAATTTTTGGGCACATACACATTAAAATGGAGCTGGGATAGCATAGTTGGTATAGCAGCTGGCTATGGGCAGGATGACTGAGGGGTTGGGGTTCGAATCCCAGTAGGGTCAAGAATTCTCTTCTCCACTTTATCTAGACCAGCTCTGGGGGCCACCCATCTTCCTATTCACTGGGTACCGGTGGTTCTTTCGCGGGGGGGGGTTAAGCAGGTGGGGCATGAAGCTTACCATCCACCTCCAACTAGTGCAGAGGCCAAGAAAACGTGGATCTATATATCCACTCCAGAATTCATATTCATGGTGTAGTGCTTAATTAGTTAGGTACAGGGACAACTCTAAAAGTACACATTAAAATGTTCTAAGACTAATACTCTGTTAATACACACACGAGTGTGTGTATATATATGTATATACATAGTGTGATGTATTTGCTCTATGTAGGAACTGTTGAGCCACAGAGGCCTCGAGGTACGTGCGCAATGTGAGGGCCAGTAAACACTCCCTCCCCACGGTGACATAACAGGGGACACCATGGTTACTATGTGATAAGAGGCCGGCTGAGCGGTGTGTGAGACAGTGTGGATTATGAAGCCAGACAGAAGACAGTGGAGGTATAGCAGTCTCGGGAAGACCAGAACGTGCAATTAGAGGTGATAGTGTGAGAATGTATTGGGAGTGTGTAATATGGTGACATTTGTATAGCTCCCATGTTGTACTGTGAATAACTGAAGACTATTGAAGATAGTGTGAAGAGATTATTGTGCAGGGTTTGTAAAATGTGTAAACCTGTAACAGTGTTATATGTATTTGTAGGTACGACTTGTAGGTTGTTAAATAAACCAATTAACAATCCGAAAGGTGTCTTCAGTAGCAAAACATGTTTCAAAATATATTGTCACGTGTTGGGTATGTGACAAGACAAATAACTTCACGCCGTCTTGGATGTAGTGAATTTATTGAACACTCACTCTTACACTCACACAATTTACAATTTCACAACTACTGCCATCTGCAGTATCACAATTATTTTTCCTGATGTAGTCACTTCCATTCACTTGATACAACTCAACTCATAACTCAATATTCACTACTCACTCACTAATGAATAGTGTTTGCTGCTCCTTATTTAGGCTCGGCATGGACAACATAGAGAACACCTTGCTGTTCAGCAACAGAAATCAGGTATTGCTGTCAGGTGTTTCTACCTATGCACTGCCTAGCAATAGTCACTGCATAGACTCACCTGTTGCATGACGTCACAGCCTAGCGGGGAGGGGTGTTTACTGAGCATTGTGTAATGATGGAAGGAGTGGGGGTACATGACATCACTCGTGGAAACGCAAAGTACACGTGACCCCTACTTCCTGTTGTGCCATCCACGTCACACTGCTCCCTTCTAAAGGTTGTTCCTCCTGAACAGCCTAACGGTACATCCCTGTTCCTTTTCTTTCAAGGCTGTGCTTGCTGCATCTTCTTTTGGATTGGCTACTCCTCTTGCACTGACTATTCTCCAGTCAATACATCCGCTTCCTTCTTAAGATTGTTCGTCCCAAACAATTCCATGGTCCAGTGTTCATCGATCCATTGTATCACATTCACTCCTCACTTTCATTCTCTCCTCATTCACTCCGGGGAGGCCAGTGTTTCTACATTACCAGTTCCCCCTCTGCTTGCAGTCTCTTTTTCCATTTTGGAGGGGGTCGACCCCTTCACAAGGTCCAATCCTTGTCTTATTGTAGGCCGACAGAAGATCCGACTATTCACTTTCCGATCTTCACACTGACAATCTCGTAGATGGTCTTCTTATGAGTTCTCCCTCCTAGGTGCGATCGCTGTCTTGATTTACACCCTCCAATGGTATTCTTGGTCAGCACCTTTATTCTCGTTTTGCATTGCGGGCCTTTCCAGCATCTATTTACCTCTGTTCGTCCTTTCCAGCTTTCTTGTTCAGCACTGACCATGGTTGAATATTTCTTTACAAAATTTCCCTTGCGCTGTGTCGCACCTGCACAGCTAGTCATATTTCTGTCGGCAGCCAATTCGTGTCGTGGTCCACACTTTCCTTGGGTCCAAGATTTCCTGAAGCTGTTCCTTTTCCGCCATGCCACTGTTGCAAGGCGGGACACCTTCCTGCAGGAGGCATCCAACTTCATCTGGGATCCACAATCTCCTCGGGTCGGTTTCTCTGGCTCCCCGCGTCGCCCTGCAGCTTGCTTCTTGCCCCTGTGCAGTTTCTTCCATCCTATAACCAAATTCAATATGGGATTTGCAATGGGGACTTCTCGTTGTTGGGCCACCTCAGGTTTTGTTTCCGCTGAGGTTGGCTCTTTCTCTTCTAGACATGCTTCTGTCTTTTCTCGGCAGGCCATCGTCTCTTTCTGCGTAATCAACGTCATTTTTTCTTCAGGTTCTCTGATTGGCATCACTGTGGCATCTTTCATGAATACTTCTTGATGCTCCACTACGGACTGCATCATTTCTGAATTAGGCTCAATTTTCTCTGCATACTGATGGAAGGAGTGGGGGTACGTGACATGACTCTAGGAAATGAGTTCACGTGACCCCTACTTCCTGTTGCACCATCCAAGTCACAATATATTAATACACATGAGTGTGTGTGTGTGTGTGTGTGTGTGTATATATAATTCAGAGAAGCTTTACATGATATTCCTTTTCTGTTTATTGTTCTTTCCTATCTAATGGGTATTAGAAGCTCTTTCCCTGTGGGCAAAGCAGCCAGGTGTAAAGGCAACCATTCAGCTTCATATAGTGCCAAGGTTAGGAATATGAGAAGCTACACTACCACTCCCCCTTACGTCTTCATGGTGTGGTGCATAATTAATTATAATTCCCCTTATTGTATGAGAATGTATACAACCTTCCAGCCTATCAGATCCTGAACAAACGTACCTGGCTACTTCCCATAAACGTTTCCTGCAGATAGATCCATAAAAGTACTTGCAAATGTTTAGACCTGATTTCTTGGGTACTAATTTCACTGTGGAAAATTGTTATTAATCTCATTACTATAGACAGATTATACGTACCTGTGATTTGTTGCAATGTCACCATTTTCATTGGGGGTTGATGTGACAAGGTATGTATTTTTGATATCCTGCATCTTTGATGGGGGTGTTCCACTGACATCATCTACTGTGTCAACACCTATAACACAATCACATATATTAAGAAATTACAAACGTCATGTTATGCATAATCGGTGCTTTCCACCTCTAACTTTTCAAACTACTTTCTTAATAATATAGTGGCAAAACTACATTGCTCAACATTCCTTGTTAAAAGAGGAAAGTATATGTTTTGGCAAAAATTTCATATATAGCATGAGCTTTCTCTTCTCTCAGGCCATCGATCTTCAATATGCAAATTTACACCAAAACCAACAATAAATTATGTAATGTTTTAGTAAAACATTTCACAGGCATAAAAATATAGAACTGTAATTTATATATACATGCAGATTATCATGCAATAGACAATGAAAACTGTCAAATGAACCGTAATTAAAAAATGAAAGGGAGTTAATCATACAAAATCAAATAAAAATAACCAAGCAGCTGATAGAGAAAACATATGGTTCTACTTAACAATATGAAACATCTATCCGGCATCTGATATTCAAACACATATATCCATACAATTTAAAATTGGAAGAACTGTAACATTATCAAAATTTTAACTGTTGAGGCCCTTTAATATGGATTAATTTAATTTATTTACAGAAGAGAATGTTTGTAAAGGACTCTGACTCTGTGTTTCTTCTGAAATTGTCTTCACTGTAACAAAAACATCAAGAGCAAGTGGAAGGTGTCCAGCTTCAATGAATTAGAGTGTATGAACACAATTTCACAAACAAGGACATGGCAATAATACTTTTCAATATTACTTTTGAAAGAAGAATTATAAAAACATTTTTGGCAGATTTCACATGATTAGGTTCCAAAGATACATATAAAGTTATATGTTATGAAATATATAACTGTTCTGCCAAACTTTAGGATTTCATTAAATGATCTGTCAATTAACATACATGATGTTAGAACTGGCCCATGGCTTGAAACCATACATAGTTATATGTACTGGTCTCTTTTATGATCATTTATAATTACACAAGCTATACATTTACATCATTATGGTAACAGGTTAAATTAGAAAGTAATAAACTCACTGAATTAATATTATTACTAAAAATATGTAGCTAAAATTCAACTTAAAGCAATATATTTTGGAATCACCATGTCACGTGACAAATGTAATAAAGTAAAATGTAAAATTATACATATTAAAGAGTATAATAATACAAACTGAAAAAGTTGGGTTGGATGATATGCTGTAAATTTTGTTTAAATATGCTTCAAGATAATTGAAATAATAACATGAGTCATCTGAACCTGATAAAGGTAATAAGACAAGAATTTTATGATGGCACAAATACTGTAATTCTCAGAAAAGTGTTCAATAAATATTGTGAGAATCTTGTACATAGGTACATGCTATTTTGAACATAAAACATAAGCATTATACATTCTCAGTTTAGACAAAAGAACATGACTGTAGCCAACTATATCACACTACTTAGAAACAAGCTCTGAATAAAACATTTAGAAAGGACTATAATGAAAATTGTAACACAACAACAGCAAAAAATAAATGTACAATAATACAAAGGAAAGGCAGTCACAAATACATAATGCAAGGCTCAGCAGTGCAAGATAAACCAAGCTTTGCCAGTACATGAATCCACCCCAAAAATAGGATTGTGAAGTTTTCTAATGAATTTGAGACACACATTTAAAAGAGATCCTTAAACTTGAAATAATAACTAAAAACGAATTTTATTCCCAGACACGCGCACTAACACACACACACACAAATCGTTCCATCTTCCCTCCTTCTGTTTAGCACTGATGCTGCTGAATTTTACCCATAAAATTTTAGGTACTAGCTTAAATAAAATAGACCAAACACATAATAAAAATGTATATATACTAATGGGCTGGACTACAAATGAGTAAAATGCTAAAGTATCGTGCAATACCCAGTACCAGTCCAACTAATTCATTACAGAATGTACTGCATTACTGACCTCACAGTTACATACATGACCAAGTAAGTTAAACAGTGCATCAAATTAAACAAAACTGAATCACAAAGTAATTAAGTACACTTAAAAGCTGAATTGTTTATCAGACATCTCTTCATATATACCCTGGTTCTGATTGCAAGAAAACTTTCACCACTTCCTCCAAAAAAATCTCTGGATATACTTCTATCAATAATATGAGACAGCCACAATAGCAACTGTGAACTTCTGAGATGTGACAAAATGTAATCTGGTTAAAGCACAGTGTAGCCTGCTACTTGCTTGTCCAGCTTAGTCTTCAGTCCTGAAGATGAATGCTGTACATTTCTTGAAACACCAGTAAACTTCCACCAGACTGCATGGCAACACATCCCAGAAGATAGTATTCTTCAATGTAAACATCAATTTCAGTTTGTGCAACAGTTTGAAATAGAAAAATCAACTCTTACAACTCTCAGTGAAGGTTGCATAATCACCATGTTGAATGTGGAGGAAGTACAAGTACAAGTATAGGTTTAAACTGTTGCTTGATACATTAACAATCACAAATAACCAGTGAAGGCATGTCAACTATACATCTTCAATTACATTAAATTATGTACTTCATTTTGGTATGTTAAAAATTATAATGAATTAAAGGTATAGAAAATTTTTTATTCCTCTCTTGTTTGGACACCAATGTCCAGCCCAATAATCCCAAAATATGCTTACAAAAGAAACAATAAGCACATAACACACAACATGTACAGTATACTTCCAATCAATCAAGTCCCTTTTTAGGCAAGTCTGCAACCCCAAGAAAAGTATATTAAGCTCTAATCCATCTGCTTGTATGTATCAACAATTTAAGAACCAATGGATTTTCACAAAATTTGATATTAAACAATATGACAAAGAACTGTCATGCCATACCAATGTTTATTTAGACAGGAAAATTTTAATGACCACTTTACATGAAGCCCTTCAGGCATTTGTGTCAGAAGTCTAACTCATCAGTATTTACTGGAGCACAAATGGTTGCATAGTTGTAGCAGAAAAAATGAAATATATATTTTATGTTCAATAAACTACATATCTGTAAGTATTACACTTTTCAACATAACTGAACAAATCAGACATTATGCACTCATTTCCTAATTCCATTATTCAATAATCATCATGGGTGTCCTCACCACATCAATACTTGGATTATCTGCATTTTTATTATTCATGTGTCTTTTCCTTTTCATTAGCAGCATAATTGGGAGTATACTGCACTGGTCTACACACAAACACTAAGTTCCACCAATCTCTAAAATCCTATTGTCTCTATCAATATGCAACAAAAATGGATGATCTGTAACATCTAACACATAAATATAGCAAAAACAACAACAAAAAGACAGGCAGTTTTCCTTTACTCACTATTACCATAACTTTAGCTGGATGTGCACCTTTGATGTATTCTGCAGGAAGTTGGAATGTCAAGAAATAACTTGGCCCAAACTTAGCTTCTGTCAAAACCACTTTTGTTCTCTTTAAGTATTCTAACAGAATAGCCCCTTTTAAGGTTGTTCTGTCATTATCATATTGGAAAAACAAAACAGATGTCATTATTAAAAACAGCATGTTTTGACCAATGATATAAGTCAAAACACCTCACATGCTATGCCATATCATTTTATTTAAAATGAAACTCTACTTACTGAAAGTTGAATAAAAAGAGTGGTCCTCTAACTCAAGGCTTGAAACTAAATTCCAAAAAATAATTCAATTCAATTCTTTATGTATTTATGTGCTGAGTTCAACAGCCAATGGACAATTATAGAGTCAGCATAAACATAAACAGTTCCAACTTCTGGCCATATAAGTGTACTTCACACATGCAATTGTCTTCTTACACAGCACTTTTAATAAAGTAATGGCTTGGCCAAAATATGTTGGAACATCTGCAACCTGATTTGGACCCATGTGATTCTTTCATGTTTCCCAATCTAAAAATCTCACTGAAAATGTTACCTGCATGGATTATCCACTTTGCAAGTTAACTGCAGGACTTTTGGAACCCTTTAGTTATTGATTACACATTCTATAATGATTTAAGTTCTGGCCATCACATCTGTTTCAGCAAAATGTAATATGTATCAATGACATTTCACAATGTCCCTGCTGCAACTTTCTGTTTGATTATTTCCTTACTTTCATGAACCTTCCTACTACCACTCAACAAGGGTTTTTTTTTTCTATTGGGAAGATATTTTCTTGCTGTTCAGCTACTAGCAGCATGACCAGTACACATAACAATCAAGTGACTTTTAGGTTCAATGTGGCATGAACAGTGGATATTTCATATTTCTGGATTACATTGCTTTTCATTATACATGCTATTTTGCACCTTAAAGGCACTCAAATTCACTAATGATTGAAGACAAGATATATACATTCAATATCATGAAAAGTTAAACAGTTTCATCTAGTGTGACTGGTGAAGATTTTTCTTATTTCAATCATTTATTCCCTTACATGTTTCGGTCTTCAGAGACCATCATCAGAGGGACACAGCCAGCCATAAACACATACAGGACAACATCAAAGAACCCACTTCTCAAGAATGGCAAGGCGGCAGATGTTCAGCCTCCATCAAGAGAAATAATAAGAAAGATGACACGGAACTACTTGGTTTATAAATTCCAATAAAATCTTAACAAACCAATTACAAATATTTTGATGTATTGGAACAGCTGCTATAGTTGTAAAAACTTTAGATTTTATACCCAATTGTATATTATTAATATTATATGTATATATTTTAATGTTCAGAACATATACTGATATAGTAACTTCCAACTGTATTCATGTAAAGGTGTCCCTCTGATGGTGGTCTCTGAAGACCGAAACATGTAAGGGCATAAATAAATGAAATAAGAAAAATCTTCACCAGTCACACTAGACGGAACTGTTTAACTTTTCATTATATTGTTAGTGTGACGGACCAGAATGAAACAAATCAAATATATATATTCAATTTTACAGATTCATTCAAGTTATTTAACTGAAAAAAATATATACAGAGAAGGGTTCACTC